TGAGGAAACGCGGTTTAAAGCAGCAATGAAATCCCACGCTAGGCTCACCCGACAGGCAGATGCGAGAAAGGCAGGGATACTGACCGCTGGCGGGGCGAGAAGGCCGCCCCCGCACGGCAGCCCCACCCTGCCCTGCCCCCCCGCCCCCCCCCCCCGCACAGCTGCCGCTGAGCACCCCAAACGCAGCCAGTCCAAAGAAGACACTGAGAGCACACAGCACACACTCAACACCCAACACGAACAGAAGATGAAAAATATCTCCACGACTCTGATGTGGCTTATACATTGAAAGCACATTATTTGGGGTACATTGGGTTTAATACAACGGATTATTGAGTTCATCTATAGCTTTATACTTATATAATGTTACTGCTAGAAAATGTAAATTTTGCACGCGAGGCTGGTGTTTGTAGATTTATCCATATTTCTTTAGGGCAGTGCTGACGTAGAGCGATGGGAACGTCCTCACGGGCGTGTTGGAGGGGAAACTGACTCAACCGCTTGGAAAACCCTTTGCATTTGCTTAGGTTACAAAGTTGCGCATGCGCTTCCTCTATGACTCTGCCCCTCTCGTACAGGGGTGTCCCGGGCAGACCCTCACATGTGCATCAGAGGCTGTACCCAAAATCCATAGCGGCATTGCTTACAAGAGCCAAACACTCGAAAGTACACCAATGTCCACGGGCAGGAAAAAGGTGCAGTCTCCTATCAGAACATTACACAGCCGGGGAAAATGAGCGGCGCTACACAGTAGCTTGATGAACCTCGGAAACTCAGTGTCTTGAGCAGAAACAAAATTACAGAAGAATATATAATACATGGTACAACTTCCGTAGATATCCAAAGCCGTGAGGTGCTTGCACCTGCCTGCCCGGCGTCCACCCGCCCTTCCTCTGTGGACTCTCTGATACTCCTTACGGAGACTGTTCACACCCGCTCTGCCCCAACGCCTCCAGCAGAGCCAACTCCAAGCCCCAGGCCCAAGCCCGGGCATGGGGCCCGCCCAGCCGGTGAGTCTCGTTCTTTCTGGTCACTGCGCTGGTTCAAGAATGGCCCACCAGGCTCCATCCGAACCGATCAGAACTAACCCGGGGATATTTTCCGCCACAGCCATGAAAAAGATGCTCCCTCTTCAGAACCCGGACACGTAACAACGTGTTTCTGGAGCCCTAACACGTCTCCAACCCCTTCGATGCAGTTGCCTCCCTCCTCGCACTTTGTGGTAAGGAATTTTTGAAAAGAAGAGAAAATCTCTACGTATAAAATTCTGAAGCAACTATTTATAAAGATGGAAAACTGGAAACCTACATCTCTAACAATAGAAGATATTTAAGTAAATAGGACAGTTCCATTTGATGGAATATCTAAACCCATTAAATTACTCATTTTGAAGACACTGCAGCAAGCAACGTAACTACTTAAAATACAACACGAAGAGAAAAAGCAGGATCGTTTGATTTGTGGTAGGTGTATACGTACATAAAAATGTCGCAATGTCAATAACATCAGTACAGGGAAAACTACTCACAAGCAATTCTAACAATTCTGACACGAATTTGAAGCGGTAGATGCTTCTGTTTTTGTTCCCCAGTCTTGCATTATGTTAAACTGCTCAACAAAGGTTTGTGGAAGCTGGTATCCCCATGACCGCGTAACTGATCAAGTGCTGTCAGAATGTATCCTCACCACATTCCTGCCTGCCAGTGTATAAAGAGACGCCCTCCGGAGTCCGGTCTGCATGCTGCTGTCCTTCCGTGTGCTCCTGCGCACCTGCGGGGGACGAAGTGGCCCGTAGGCCTCCAGAGGCAGCACACAGGACACTACCCGGTCCCCAGCTCTGGAGGTGAACAGACCCGGTGTGAGTCCCAGCTCATCCACACAGGCTGAGGGACTCCGTGACCTCTCTGGTAGGGTGGAGATGCCGAGGCTTCCCTGGCTGAGTCATGATTATCCCCACCTGGGTCAGAAAAAACTGTCCCTGCGATGTAAGTGACACTCCCTGTTCGTATCGTTGGGCTCGGGTTAAACTTCTGCCATCGGAATACACCTGGGAAATTTTCAGATCTAGCTCAGCATTAAATTACTTACAAAGGACACGTGCTCTGGTCGGGTGGGTGTCTGCATCTTCGACCGCCTGACCACTCTAGGTGGAACGGTGTGTTCCTGCACGGGACCCTCTCACTTCCCAGCTTAAAATCCTTCAGTGGCCCCAGAATACCTCCACGATCAAGTCCAAACTCATGGTCGGCTGGGCACTCAGGGTTCACCCTGTGCCCTCCAGCCTCGCAGGCCACTGCGGGAGTGCTAAGCACCCTGCGGTCCCCCGGTGACCAGGATTACCCTTCACCATTTGCACCTCCTGTCCCCTTTCTCTGAAACCCCCCCCCCACCGACTCCTCCTTCCCTGGTAACTCCTACCGCAGTCTAAGCTGAAATCTCCTCCCAACTGTCCTCCTGGCTCCAGGGTTAGGGACCCCCACCCCCCACCAGCGCAGCACAGCCCCCTGGGCTCCCCGCATGGCCCTGGCTCTGCCTTTGCTCAGGGAGCTCCCTGAGGGTTAGGACTTGGCCTCCAGCCCCTCCGTGTCCCTGGTGCCGGCACAGGGGCAGATGTGGGAAAGACTAAGTGCCTACGACATAAAGTGCCACTGACTGGTGGCAAATAGACGAGTTTTACTTGCACGCGGAAATAATTAAGAAATATGCTGCAACATTGAATAAGTTAATGTGTCACTGGGCTGGCAGCTGTTGCTAGCCTTGTCTTTCAACAAGCCCTGAAACAGGCCCTTGACCTTGGGCGCCAGCCCCTTCTGGAATGAGGAAAAAGAGCGCGGACGTCGAAAGGCTGGTGACGCCAGCTGTGAGTAACTCTTTGGCCGGTAAGTCTCTTCCAGCTCATTTGGGAGATAAAGAACAGTCGTCAGTATGGGGGGTGAATCTCTTCTGTGAATGAAGAGAAAGATGCTGAGAGGATTACCCAGAGCGTGACCTGGGGCCCCCACTGGGACCGCAAAGGCCTGACCTTGGACATGGTGTGAAGGGGGTGCAGGGCTCCCATCAGTGGGGATTCTGTAACGGGCTGAGCTGTGCCCCCAAACTTTCTGTGTTGAAACTCCAACCCCCAAGGGGCCTCAAAGGAGATAATGAATGTTGAGTGAGGTCACAAAGTGCGCCCGAATCTGATGGGACTGGTGTCCCTACCCGAAGAGGAGCAGCCTCCAGAGACCTCTAGTGCCTCCAGCCACAGCGAAAAGGCCACCTGAGGACCAGCGAGAAGGTGGCCGTCCGCAAGCCAGGAGGCGAGTTCTCTCCGGAAACCAACCGTGACGGCACCTCGATCTCGGCGGCCCAGCCTCCAGCACAGTGGGAGGTCCCACATTTCTGTTGTTCACTCCGCTGCCTAGAACGAGTCTGTTGTTTCAGTGTGTGTGGTGTCTGGTTAGAGCAGCCTGAGCTAGAGACCCGGACAGACCCCTCCCCAAAACAGGCGGGACCACGCTGACTTGTGAGGAAGGAAGTTTTCTGGCCCAAGCCCTCCTGCCCACGGCCAATGAGTGCGCCTTCTCGGAGGGTCTGAGCCCCTCGGAATGCCAGCGCACGGGACAAAGGTGCTCCAGAGAGGAGACCCACCCCTGCAGCCTGTCCCAGAGCAGAGCAGGCCTGGAAATGCTGACAGCCACATCAAGATCACTGACTTCCGTGACAAGGTCAGGGTCACCGGGAACGTAGCTGAAGAGGAGCTCAGCTACATGGGGTCCGAATTCTTCCTGGGACACACGAGAGCCTCCACCCTCTCCCTGTCCTCCTCTCCTCTGTCAGCTCCTGGATGCCCCCCCACCTGTGCTCCACCCGGAAGGACCAGGAGGAAGGGCTTGGGCCTCATCAGTCCCCCGGCCCCTGCCCTGGCCCCGCCCACTGTTCTCATCGCCAGTGCTGGTCACTGACTATTAGGTGCCTCTGGACCAGAAACTCCTTCAAGAAAGAACCGCATGGGCCTGACTCAACTGTCTTGGGTGGCAGGACAGCACCAAGATGCCGTCTGGGCCAACAAGCAACCAACCCCCACCACCACCCGGGCACACGGGCCCAGGGGCAGACTGTCCCGCCTCAAAGCCAGCTCTGCCCCTTCGGAGCCGTCACCAGGACACGGCGTTTCCTCAACTATAAAATGGAAGGAGAGAAGTCCAGAGCTCCCAGGCCCGAGTGGCCACAGGAGGCTCCCGCGCTGGGCCTGGTGCTGGGGAGGTGCTCAGTAGGCTTAGCTGTCCCTTGGGGCCCGCCACGGAGACAACGCACGCTGAGAGGAACAGAAGCCACGCCGCGGTGCAACCGCTTTCATGTGGTTGCCAGAGGTTCAGCTGCCGGCAACCGCGCAGAAGAGCAGGTGGTGCCATAATCCAATCTCACAGGCGACAAAACTGGGTTTCAGGGAGATTAAGTAAGTTACCCACGGACACAGAGCACTGGAAATGGGGTTCTGCTAGTCCAAATACCTGGCTCTAGCGCTCCGGGACGCAAGGCCCCCCTTGGCCCTGGAGTTCAGAGGCCGTGAGACAGCACGCACCACCCCACCCCGCCTTCCTCGGAGCCACAGAGTTCAACCACGAGAAGTTTCCCTCGGCCGCCCTGGGCGGTGAGGCTGGCAGCAGCGTGGAAGCGGCGCTGCACGAGGCGCACGCATTGTGGACACACATGGTGGGCACACCCGCGCCCAGGCCGCCTCCTTCGGCCTCATGCAGGCGCCGCCGGAGACCTGGCTCCCCGGGACCAGCGCCCAGGCCGGCGGGACTTGCCTCCGCAGGCCACACCTCCCTTCTGCTCCCGAATCAAGGTCTCGGGTTCCCCTCTCCGAACCTGCCACCCCCCTTATGGCCCCGACAAGCAGGGGCTGCCGGGGTGGAGGCCCCGTGCCTGGGGCCCGGGCACAGCGTGGAGATAAAAGGGGGACCCGGCCGAGGCCCAAATGTGGCGCGCGGTGGCCGAGCCCCTCGCCTTCTTACCTTCCTCGTTCTCGTCAAAGGCGGCGGGCTTGTGGGAGTGGTTCCCGCCCATATTCCGCCGCCGCGACCGCCGCCGCTACATGCCCGGCCGGGGGATGCGGGTGCTCCGTGCTCGGTGCGGAGTGAGGGGTGCCGGGTGCGCTGTGAGGGTTGCAGGACTCGGGGTGCGGGGCGAGTGCCCAGCCCAGGCTGCAGCCGTGCGCGGAGCCGTAGGGGGCCGAGCGCCGCGCTAGGGCGGGGATCGTGGTCGCTGCGCCCCCTTCTCCTGAGTCCCCCTCCTCTGGGGCGCCCCCCGGGCTGCGCTCTCCAGTCCACCGCGCCCTGTGCTCCCAGGTGCCCTGGGGCTGCGCTCTCTGGTCCACCGCGCCCGCCCGGGAACTTGTGGGCTCCCTCCCGTGCCGTGCCGGGGCCACGGAGCAAGCTTCTCACCAGCTGCAGCGAGCGGGAGGATGGAGGCGGCAAGGGCGGAGGAGGAGGGAAGGAGGAAAAGGGCGGGGGCTGCACGGAGGTGGCGCCGCGGAGGGCGAGCTCAGCTCGGGGACAGCCCGGACGAGGGGGCGTGGCACGCTCGGTGTGGGAGCTGAGGGGGGCAGCCCGGAGGAGAGGGCACGGAGCGAGCACCGCCTTCCCGCCACACCCACCCTAGCGGAGAGCAGGGTCAGCCGCAAGGACTTGAGATTCTGGCCTCGGAACCTCCCTCCATGCAGTAAGCGATATGTAAGCACCTACTGTGTGCCGCGTCCCCCTACAGGCCCCATCCCCAACCGTCCTGCCAAGTGCCTCATTTCCATGGTCAGAAAAAATCAGTGCCCCCCATTTCAGAGCCAGGCAGAGGGAGTTCAGAGGTACAGGGGCTCCAGGGTCTGGAGTCAGTCCTCCCTGGCTGCGGGGAGCCCCCACTACGCCCCGCGGGGCCTCCTTGCCCATTCGGGCTGAGACCTGCTCAGCAAGGTTTTTCCCCTTCACGTGTGTTCTAATGAATTAACACAGGTCTAGACCTTTTAGGGGCCAGCCTGGCCCCTTCATTGTACATGGGGAAACTGAGGCCCCGAAGAGACCGTTGCCTGCACCACACCATCAAACCATTCTCTGCAGCACTCGCTGCTGGGCGTCAGCCTCTGGATCCGCTCCCCCCCCCCTTCGGAGTCTGATTAAGGGGCGGTGCGCCTACAGGTTGGTGGGACCCTGGGGACAAGAAGTGGGAAGCCCAGATGGGGGCGAGGGGTACGTGCCAGGGGCAGGGTACTAAAGGCTGGGGTGCAATGGGTACACCCCGAGGCTCATGGGGCCGAGTGGGACGAGCACGGACCCTTAGAGGGCGCTCCCAGAGGGACACACTGGTTAGAGGAGTACACGCAGCCCCGCTCCTGCTGACGGCATCTTCGGCCACAGCCTGCCATCTGCTGGGCGCCTGAAGCCACTGCCCGTACTTTGGAAGAAAGCGTTTCTTTCCCAGCCTGTGTCACCCCATCTCTCTCTCCCTCTCTCCCCTTCTCCCCGGCGTGGGCCGGGGGTTGTCTCTTTATCCAACACAACAGAAATGCCCAGACACATGAAAACACGGAGTCGGCCGCATCCGGGGCAACCAGCTGGAGCTCCTGACAAGCCTCCTTTACAGCCCTGAGTCTCCTACCACTTCCTGTCTGTCCCGCTGCCTTGGAGTTCCTTCCTGCAAAATGGGGAGCTTAATATTAATGGTCAGGGTTGCTGTGAGGATTACGCCAGGTGATATTTATAAAAGCGGGTGACATAACAGTGCCAGGCATATAACACAGGATCAATAAACACTTGCCTCTCATTCTACTAACAAACACGGATGGGCTGGCGCACCCCCCCCCCAGCAACGCACTGACAAGATACCTCAAGAGGCAGGGGGAGGAATAAGTCTGGGCCCTGCTCTGGCCAGGTTTTATCCCACTTTGCTACACTCTAACAGGCCAATGTGGCAAGCTGTTCCAGCCTCAGTTTCTTCATCTGTACAATGGGGATAATAGTACTTCCTTCCCTAGGGTTGTTGGGGGAATAATGAATTAATGTTGGTGCCTGAGACATAATAAGCACAACACAGGCGTTAGTTGGTATCCTCGGTCATGAGCTATTCTGTAAAGGGTGCCATGTGCTCCCAATTCTTCCTTCTCCCCCTGCCCTCACCTGTGCTCGCTGGGGTGAGGGATGGCCCCCTCCCCCACACAATGGATGTGGAGCCGTCGGACTCAGTGTGGCTGATGGGATGTGGGAGGAAGTGACCGTGTGCCTGTTCTAGTGAGTGACGGCCCGCAGAGATGTCACATGTCTTAGCTCCCTTGTGCTTTTCCCATCCATCCCGGGGAGCCCTGGCCCTGGAGCGGCCTCTGTTCCCAGCATGAGAGACACGAGCTGCAGACTGAACCCGCCTGAATCCTAAGCAGAGTTGCAGGCTCATGGGTAAGAAAAATACATGTTCTTGTAAGCCACAGAGATCCGGGAGGGGGTGATTTGTTTCCCAGCATTATCACAGAAACTGCTGACTGATGCACACACCAAATGAACAGTCATATGTGCAGAGACCGTACTTCGATGTGCACTCGGTGCGAGGAATCCCAGGAGGCCGTGGGGACATGGAAGGCACTTGTCCCAGCCCTGAGAGGCAGGAGGGGCAGACGGTCCTCAGAGAAGAGTCCTGAGCACATGTTCCCTTCCCTCCCTTCTTTGCTGGACAAGCATTTCCCCAACACTTACTGTGGGCCAGGCCTGGGCTGGGTGCTGGGCACAGACCCAGTAGGGGATAAGACAGGGTCTGCTTTCATGGAGTTCAAGTTCCGAAGTCTGGTGTGGGATAAGAACAACACTCAAGAATGGGTCGTACCTGCAGGCAACCCCTTCCTGTGCCTCTCCCCATTTACGGACGGCGGGCCAGGCCCTTTCCCTCCAGTGCGTCTCCTGGATCGCCCGTCTGAATCCTCACGACAAACCCGCCAGGTGGGTGTGATCCTCCCTGCACTAAAGGCGACAAAGGCCCAATGACTGAGAAGCGGTGGACCGGAGATTCAACTCCACAAATTACCCATGCGTATCAAATCCAAAGAAAGGACATAGGGAACGGCAGCTACTTCCGGAGCTGTGCAGTCCAGATCATTTTCATTTTATTTTTAAGTGCCTTTGTATTATGTCACATTATTTTAATAATCAGGGAAGAGAGGGATAAATATTTTCACCTTGAAAAAATCTTGCGACAGTGAACTACCCCTGATTTTGCAAGGCGTGTCTCACGTCCATGTTCACAGTTACTGTTTGATCTGAGGGGTGTACTTCCATCAACCCATCTTACAGATGGAGAAAAGGGTTCAGAGGGTCCAGTGGCTTGTCTTTCAGGCCATATTCTTGTGTGTTTCCTATGGCTGCTGTGACAAGTCACCACAAACTTGGTGGCTTTAAACAGCAGAAATATACTCTCGTCCCGTTCTGGAGGCCGGAAGTCTGAAATCAAGGCGTGGGCAGGGTGGGTTCCACCTGGGGGGTCCGAGGGGGAGTCGGTTCCCGGGCTCTTCCAGCTTCTGGTGGCTCCAGGCATTGTTTGGCTTATGGCTGCTTTTTTTGCTTTTCACTTTTTTTTTTTTTTCATAAAAGCAAAAATCCTCCAGATTTCTTTCAGTTAGCAAAACCAGGTAGTACTATGGGGCTTTCATAAAATCAAAGTGGTATTAAACAAACTTTTGAAAAGTGGGGGCTACCTGTACATTGCAAGCAATCAACACATGTTTATACCGACCATGTGGACAGCATAAGAAATGGACCTGATCTTAAAAAGAAACAACAACGACTAGTTCACTCAAGGTCATGTTTAACTGCTCCTGGCGAAAGGCTTTCTCACCGCGCCTGTATCTTGGGTGGGACTCTGGACTGGGGTGACTGGGGGGAGTGAGCAGAAACGGCAACCCCTCTGTGATAAAAGGCGTCTGGAAGCTTCATCGCTGTCTCCGCAGGCTCATGCGAAGTAAGCAACTGCCCCAAGGGTTACGTGAGAGATACGGCTCTAGACTGATGAGAGACCCGTGTGAAACCATACACATAATCAAGAATAACACATGGAAAATGTGCAAGTGTGGTTGCATCCCCCACAGAGGGTCCAGCTTCTCGCTCGTCCTACAGGTGGGTAGCTCCATAAAATGCCGCCAGAAAGAAGCTTCCCGGGGCGCACAGGCAAGGACTGAAACAGAGGACACTCCCTGGACACCTACCTACCAGGCAAAAGAAGACAGGCGAGAACTCCAGTCTCTTCCTGCTGCCTGGGTGGGGGCTGCTGCTTTGGACAGTGGGCAGGTCTCACATTTAATCTGGCTGCCCTAACCTGGGCCGTCCCCCCAGGCTCATTTTCAACCCAAAAGGTCTCCAGGCAAGGAAAGTGGGGTGGCTGGACTGCAAGGTGGCACCTGTTCTTTCTCTGGTCGCCCGAGAGACCAGCCGCGTGTGAAAACCCCCAGAAACCCCAGTCAGGGCCGGAGAGACTGGTCACATCCTGCCCACCGCCCAGTCTGGCTGACGTCCTGCCCAGTTAGCACACCCCCACCCCCACTTCCTACGCCCAGTTGCTGCCGTCCAGCCCCCTGGAGAGAGCGGCTGGGCTTGGTTTCAGCTGCGTTCTAGCTGGAGCCAGGCTCCAGGCTCACAGCCTAACAGAGATCTGTATGGTCTTCTAACTCTGCGCAGAATAGAGGCATGAGTAGAATAAAAGCCAGCTGCTTCTCTGCACTGAGCATGTCTGGCATTCCCGGGAGGTTGGCTGTGGGAACACCATGGAAGTTACAGTCCGGGTCAGTGATTTTCAGCCCATGGAAGAATTTTTAAACCAGGCAGTCAGTCCCCAACTAGTCAGGTGCACTGACCTCTTTCCCCTTAGATTATCAAATTTAAAAAAATGACAGCAGTCAACACAACAGCTGCCGTCTGGTGTGAATGAGTCAAAATTATACCTATTTTTTGTCAGATCAGCAAAAAATGTATTTTTGAGTGTGCCACGGAATTTCAGTCATGAGTTTACATGAGCTGTGAGATGAACGAGGTCGGGAATCACTGGCCTCGGGGGTCTTCCCTGAAACCGATGAGGGGTCTGGCCCACAAGTCTGTGTTCTCAGAGCTCCACGGAGGGACGGAAATAACGACTGGGACCCTCTCCTGACCTGCGCTGTCATGAGCAGAGTCCTGGGGCCTCCAGTCCTGTCGCTGAGAGCACGACCAAGGCTCCACCGGACTTGCACCCGGAGCTGCAGACTGCAGTGGCTGTAACCTCCCGTTTTGTGTGAGGCGACCACGCTGCAGAGGCCGATGTCACTCCCCAGGGCAGGGCGTCTTCCCACCACGCGGTTTTTTGGAGTCAGCTAGATCAGATTTTGTTCTCATGTCCTGTAAGCCTGTTTTATCTAAAACTTGCCTCGGGTTCCCTGATCCGAAATGCCGTCTGCTTGCCCTCCTGTGCAGCGCTGGCC